CTTATTAACAGGCCTTTTAGCGTTACTCAAAGAGAGAGATAAATGACGATATACTTTAATATATAGTTTTAAAAAATCCGCGGTTGCTCTAATTATAATTAAAAATTATTTGGTGTTTATCTGTAAATCAATTTGTATTATGAACAATAAGAATTAATATTTAATTAATATTTAAAACATCAAAAACACTTATAAAAATTAAGGAATTTTTGTAAACTATATTTTTGAAATAATTTATTTAAGAAATGAAATTTAATTTTACACAATTCAGATAATAAAATTTGCAAACTTATAAATGTATAGAATTACTAGTTGTATGAACAGCTTAATAAATAACTAAACAGAATATATCGTTTTAAAAATACTTGCTATAGAGTTCATAACAAATTCAATAACAATGAATAAATATCTCATACAATTTATTATACCTTAAAGTGAGTTATATATTATATAATACCGTATATAATATTTTAAATTTAAACTACAAAATAGGGAACGTTTAGATAAGTTTCAAATATAGTTTTTAATTCAAATTACATTAAAATTCCATGATTTGATTTAAGAAATTAAAAATATATGTTATATTAAAACGAAAATAGTTATTCACAAAAAAATACAGCAATAAAATAAATACTATATTTAATTTCAAAAATTGTTTTACTTTAAAATTTACTCAAACACACAATTTTATAATAATATATTATTAAACAAAATATATAATTGTGAAACTGAAGGAAAACTTTATTCCCTAATCAAAACATAAATCACAAGTTATTGAAATTTTCACGTATTATCAATAAAAAGGTGTCTTTTATATTAACAAATTTACTGAATTTATACAATTAAATTAATAACAAATTTTTAACAAGCATAAATATTACATAGTATAAAACTTAGATAAGTAATCATTTAAATATTCATTCATCAATAATTAAGCCTCGGTTTCACTATAAATTATAAGTTTATAAGCTCTTAAATAAGCTCTTAAATTATAAGCGTATTATTGTTGCAATTTATAACATGAACTTAACTATTTTATTTTGTTTAATATTTATGACGCTTTTTGTTCACATTTATGCAGAAAATAAAACGACAACAACTACAAAGTATTCATTGCCCACAACTCTTAAACCATATCCACCAAAAGGTATAAACATTTTAAATCTTTAAATGTAAAAATATGCAATATATTATTTGTTTAATAATTTCAACATAAAGGTTGTCAATTGATCAAATGTAAGCCGGGGTATAAATGCGGTTGCATACCAAAATGTCCTAGAACCTGTGCCAGCAAAGGCTATTGTATACCTGATTTACCTTTGTATTCTTCTTGTAAACTGAGCTGTATTTGCGATGACGACCACGTTTTGGATGATAATTATAGATGTATAAATAAATCTCTTTGTCACCGTAAGTGAATTATACGGCAAAATTGTTATAAAAATATACTTGAGATAATTAATTTATTTAGAATTAACAACAACCACAACAACTACTTTATCACCTGGTAAGATAAACTTGGTCATTTTAAATTATATAATAATTATTAATTGTTTGTGTAGAGTGTGCATCACTTCAATGTCCAAGGGGCACGGAATGTGGGTGCCCTCCACTCTCTCCACCCACTTGTGACAATCTCTACCCTCAAAAGTCTATCCCAGCGGACAATTGCACTGTTCAATGTTACGGTGTATGCCGACAGGGATATGTGCTTGATAAATTGGGTGGAAAATGCATTCCGTTGGGAGATTGCCCTGGTATAAAATTTAATTTATAATTACACTAACTCTCGCGTCAGTGTTATTTAATTGTTATATTGTCGATAGGTTTTTGTATAAGAAAACACAATTACGAGAAATGGTATGAATGTAGTACAAAAAAATGTGAGCGCACTTGCGATACACCCGATCCTATTTGTACTAAAGAGTGTCAAACACCGGGTAATTTTGATTGTATGCCCGGATATGTACGACACGTGCCCACCAATAGATGCGTTACTCTCCAACAAAATGTGAGCGCACTTGCGATACACCCGATCCTATTTGTACTAAAGAGTGTCAAACACCGGGTAATTTTGATTGTATGCCCGGATATGTACGACACGTGCCCACCAATAGATGCGTTACTCTCCAACAGTGTAAACAAAAGTATATCCCGTGTCTCCGCAATGAGATCTGGTTTCCCCACTCGACCATCAAATACGAGCGCACATGTAAGCGCCCGAACCCTTATTTCGTGGCCACTTATGATACGCCCTGCAATTGCGACTGCAGACCACCTCTGGTCAGAGACACAATGACCTGCCGGTGTGTCCGACCCAACGAACCCTACTGTAAACGCCAAATGTTACGCGAGTTTTGGTATGAATTATTGAAATAAATTTTATAATAAATATTGTTTTAAAAAATTAAGCTAAAATATTCAATAAATATCAGATAGTTTTATAAAGTATTTGAACGCAATTAAAAATATATTATATTTATTTTATTTTTCAAATGTTGAAATAATTGCTTAATAAGTAAATTTATTGTTTTGTTGACAACTTAATAGTTAACACTTCTAAATTAAACATGATATTACTGTATAAACACTTTATAAATTAAACGTTTTATAATATAATGTTTTAACTTTTAACATGAAAATTTCAAAAACAAAAAAAATTAATTTTATTACTAAAATATAATTATTGTATCACATTTAAGTTAAATAAACATAAAATAAAATTTTCTTCGATTAGTTACAATTTATTTTAAAAAATAATGTTTGATAAAAAAATCCAATTAAATGAGCCAGATTAATATAGTTTCTTGGAAGTGTTTTGATAGATACTTAATGTCGAGATCAGGGAAAAAGTTTTCGTACCCATTGCTCGCTCCGGTGCCGAACACATCCAAAACCAAACGATTTATTTGTGACAAACGATTTTCGGTTACATTTGTTATAAATCTTTTAAAAGATTTGGGCAATAATTTTGGACTTAATATAAAGGCATAAAATAGTTGAGTACTCGATATGGCAAACACTAAGTTTACAATTTCATCCGAGTGTTTAATATAACCATTGTTTTTAACCAAACAAAACATAGATTCTATGCATTTCCATAATAAATACATAGATATGGTTGAGTTGGGAGATAAGAGCATTACTGGTCCCGACAATAGCCCTGAAATAATTGGTTAATTGTAAGTTATTTTAAATTCACTTATCGTTATAGTTTTTGTTTTTGTATCGTATTTTTAACATTGATATTTTTAACACATATTATAAATAATTATTTTATATTAAGGATAGTCATATTTTTATTAATGTAATAGCAATAACTAAAATTATCATCTTATAATATTCATAAATAAATCAAATTTGACAAATTACGGCAGAAATTATGCAAATGTTAGTCATGATCATGATACAATCAGCCAATTGAGGTATAGCATATTTTAATAATTATATAGAGGTTCAGACTGACCATTCGTGATTGAATAACATATTATAATTTGAATTATATTTATCAAAAATCATGCATTAGAAAAAAATATGATTTTGTATATTCAACTATACGTATATTCAGTGATCGCATATTATTCTATGCAATATTTTCATTTAATTAAATTTATTAGACGCCCAAAAAACCAGCATTATTTGTGAGAATTTATATATTAACAAATATGTAAGAACTTATAATTCTTATAACTAAATTTATAGAAAAAGAAATATAAATTTATATAAAGTATATCTTGTAGCACATATAAAATATATATTGTATCAAAAAGTATTTGTAAACTCAATAATAGCTTTAAATACAATTAATTATTTTTGTAAAATCGCATTTAACAATCTTTTCCATTGCTTTGAATTGAAAGTTAAAATGAAATAACATTTTATAATGGGATTTAACAATTGTCTTTGATTTTGTACGATCAAAAATTGTGTCAATAAATACATTGTATAGAAAATAGTGTGTAAGTAATTTGCCTTAAAATGTTGAGCAAAATTACATAGTGTACTAAATAATTCACATATAAAATCAAATAGTTTGAAGCATTTAATATAACAATTTAATTAGAAATACTATATTAATTATAGTTACATCTATTTGTGTCATTTAAAATTTAAATACACTATTGTTATAATAAACGTGGTGATTAATAGAATAGTAATCAAAGATAAATAGTTATGATTAAATAAAATTTGTCAAATTAATAATATTATTTAAATATTGTTTTTTGACTGCAAACAAATTCTAAAATTCATTAAATGTAAAATTGATTATTTAAATATCCAAAATGCTTAAGTAAACGCCAGATAAAAATCATAATATATTAAAGTGAATCAATTGAAGTGAATAATTGCGGGACTAATACCTGAGAGGAATGCGTGCCAGTCCTCACTTTGATCAGTGGTCCAGCGAAGAAAACAATTAATTGTCTTAAACAATGAACTAAAGGCAGCCGTAAACAAACCAAACTTGAAAGCCGTCTCTGATTTGATTATGCCTTTCATTATTGAATTATAAGAGTAAACACGTCTGCGATTTATCCATAGCTGAAATGCCACATGTGCTGACCATCCGATCGCCAATGACTTAAGAAACGCACTCACGCTATATATAACACAGGAGTGTTTGTGCGGACACAAGCGATGCCTCGGAGGAAGATATTTGTCAATATAGTGTTTAATGGGTTTATAATTAATGAAATTGTTTTGTTTATTTATTTGGCGATGTGTTGACTGTGTTGTAGAAGTAAGTGCTGTCCGCTGGAACTCCTGTTGGCCTAAAATCATTTTGAGGGCTAAACTAATCGGATCGTTAGAGTAACCATTTTTACGTATTATGTATAACAGTATTGAGACCGATATTGTGAATAACATGGTTTCTCCATTAGGTATGGGTTTTATATAATTATTATCTACAAGATTTCGGTAAACTGTATGCGAGGCCAGGTTTGCGCAGTAAACAGCTAACGCTTGCCGTCGTGAAGGCCTATCAAACAAATTTACATAAATTTTAAAATATTTTTTCAATTGTACAAATAATATTTGAATTACAATTTTTAACACTTGTTTACTATTTAAAATATCTTTATTAAACAATATACTGCACAATAATATTGCAAAAAATAAAAATATTTTTAGCAGGAAATAACTAAAGAAAACTTTTTTACATAGACTAAATGAATACAGCAAATAAATGCTTTATTACTGTACAATAAATTCTACAAGAACTGTTAGAGTTAACAAGATAAATTTTACTAAAACTAACTAATTACTGCTACTAAAAACAGAATATAAATTGTTATAATTACAAAATGTTTGCTTGATTTACAAGCAGCATTTTCTAATAAATGAAACCATTTTCAAATCAAAGTAATAGGTTGCTAATTTTTTTAATGAATTGGTGCAAAGACTTAATGGAAACATAATGATTGGTTTGTGATTGATTTGAGTGGCAATATATTTACCTCTCGATGAGTATCGCGAGTCCCGAACTGACCAGTGATGGCAACCACGAGGAGAGAGACCAATAGAATCGGCCACTCATTCGTCGAACGCCACAGAAAAAAGTGACGAATGAAAAGACCAGAAATGAGACAAAACAAGACGACCGCAACACCGATGAAGCCGTTTGTTTGCAACTCTTGCCATCAAATCTTCGTTTAAACACTATTTGTTGTAAGAAATAA